TTCACATACATGGGAAGCATCGTCGATAAACAAGGAGGTTCAGATGCAGACGTCAAGGCGAGGATTGGCAAAGCTAGAGCAGCATTCCTTCAACTGAAGAACATATGGAACTCAAAACAACTTTCAACCAACATCAAAGTCAGAATCTTCAATACAAACGTCAAGGCAGTTCTACTGTATGTAGCTGAAACTTGGAGAACTACAACAACCATCATCAAGAAGGTAAAGGTATTTATCAATAGCTGTCTACGCAAGATACTCAACATCCATTGGCCGGATACCACCAGCAACAGCCTTTTGTGGGAGAGAGCCAACCAGCTTCCAGCGGAAGAGGAAATTAGGAAAAGACGATGGAAATGGATAGGACATACATTGAGGAAATCATCAAACTGCATTACGAGACAAGCGCTAACTTGGAATCCTGAAGGGAAGCGGAAAAGAGGAAGGCCAAAGAACACATTAAGTCGGGAAATATAAGCGGATATGAAAAGGACGAATAAAAATTGGAAAGAGCTGGAAAGGATTGCCCAGTACAGAGTTGGATGGAAAATGCTGGTAAGCGGCCTATGCTTCTCCACAAGGAGGACCGTTTGCGGAAAAACTTCTTTGGAGCACATAGGATCGTGTGCATTAATAATTCTCAGTAAGTGTTCACATCAAGTTGAGGGTGTGCTTGCTAGTCCATCTACTCTAAATTGACCTGTGTAGCTGACATATCAACACTTTTTAAATTCACAATCGTGTTATCAGCAGGATGTTTTCGAATATAAACCGGCATGCCTCATGTAACAGACTGTTATTTGAGAATAAATTACTATTATTGTTATTATTATTAAAGGCATTGACGGCATGACCACTGTTTTCTCAGGGAACTCAGGATTGAGAGATTGTCAATTGGGAATTATTCGTTTGTAAATATGCAACCCAAGCGTGATGGCGTCTGACTATTTCTCCAGTGAGTTGCTAAGTTCACACTTTTGAATAATACTATATCTTCAGTGAAGTTAAAACCAAGTTTTAAAGGAGTTTTCACCTCCAATGTACCTGGAGAAGTTGACTTTGGGAAGACTGAAGTCTCCTAGACTCAGAATATAAGTGTATCCTAGACGAGTAGACCGGGATAGTCCTTCTAACATACGATTGTCCTACTATGTGTCAGTAATGGGCTTCCTGTAGATGGCTCCAACTAGACACATTAAGATATCAAGCAATCTTACTGAGCATCATACGGATTCACCAAGATTGATCAAATCTTGAATGTACACATGATGTACTGCCAAGCAAGGTCCCACTTTTCCGTCATAGCCAAACAAGGACATCCTAAGCACCGAAGCTTCTGACTTGTAATTCGAGATGCTCATACTTCAGATATTCCTATCAAATGAATATTATATGTGTTACTTAGTTTACGCAACTCGAGGCGTTAGTATATAGGTAGCTTATGCTTTCAATTTTAAACGTCTGAGCTTCCTCCTTTTTGTCTGAGTGAGCTATTTGTGAGTTGGCAGGCTACCTACCTACACAGGGTTATCCAAGTTAATCGTCCTTGCACCTTCTACGTTTTCACTTGTTCTTAGCAGTGCATAAGCAAAAATAGTCAGTTCCAGCTTGCTTTTGTGCTTCATTCTAGAGTCATGTCACATAGATTTCATACATATAGTTCCCTTTATAATTTTGAAAAGACATATAGATTTCATGAGGTTACCGGCACATGTTTACACGAAATGCTTTGAGAGTTGCGACAGTCATTTGAGAGGATTGAGAGATTATCTCCACTAGCCGGGGTCTAGAATCCCCGTCCTCAATGGCTAGTCGCAACACTTGTTCAGTCAATATTCCCTTGAGCTCCAATGACCGTTTCATAAATTTCCACTCTAGAATATTATAGTCTGCATAATCAGAATCCGTGTTTTTCGTAACCCCTTGCGCAATGATATTTCTTCCACGAAAGAACATCCCGCGAGGTTCATTAGATATGTTTCTGATGAGATTGCGCTCAGAATATGGCACTCTTACATTCCCTTCTGATTTCAGCAAGGGAATGGCCAACAAACCATCTTCTACGTCAGTGGTGTTGATGGATGATTTTTGTTCTCGGTATCCTCCCGCCGATTTAGCCGCGTAACAGTTAGGGACTCAAGCTTGAAGATTTTGAATGGGGTTCCTTTTGTTTACGATCCGGATACCGGTGCTTTTCGTTGATCAATCGTACAATCGTTGTGGTAGATTGCACGGCCGATTCATTAGGTCATTTTCTTACGAGATCTGTTGTAGATTCTAAACGTTAGTTTGGAATGAAGAATAAATGTTTAGGTAGTTTAGATGTGTGCTAGTTCCCAGTTGAAACTAAAACAAGATAAACAGGTAAATGACGGTTCTACATTTCATTAGAAATATAAATGTTGATTATCACCTAAACAAATATTACCACCCAGTTATTCAACCAATAGTTGTTCAACCAGTAATAAAATCTTAACTACAACAAATGAATAAGTTGATAAAAGATGTAAGAGAATTACTATGTGAAACAAATAAATGTTATTATATCCTCTCTGGATAGATCACGCGATAGCAATCAAATGTCTAAAACCAGATCTATGTATCCAAAAAGAGGCGATAATGAATCTTTGTTTGCCCTGGTAACATTAAACCCCTTTTTTATTTATTACGTCATTCATTATTTCAACTCTTTCTGAAGTTTAAACTACATCATTGTCATTTTTCTCCACTTCATAACTGACTGGTTTCAATTCATATGCTTATTATTATTAATCAACTTCCAGTTGCTTTATTACACAATCATCTAATGTTTGTTAACTCCATGGGTTCTAACCACTATTTTAATGTTCTAGAACTTTCCCTCCCAAACTTTATTTGTCCGAAACAAAATTTTTATGACCTTATTAACTCTATCGGAATCTTTGTTAGATCATGATATACATATTCATATCTAATCACCCTCTCATGTATAAGTTTGTCATTATCTGTAATAACATTGATTCTAAAATGTTATTGTTAAGTCGGTTTTCCGAGAACTGCAACAGAGCCTCCGGAGGCCCTGAAGGAGCCGAAGAGTCTTAGCCAATCAGAGCACGATGGAGCTTTCTAGAATGCCAACGTGGCGTGCTACTATTGGTCAGTAGCATAATATGTCTTTTAGCGGATTGGCCAAGATATGATGTTGATTTAACAAATGTTAACATCTATAAATACCCGTGTTTTTCTGTACAAAAACGAACCTTGAAGTAAAGTACTTTTCGCATACTTTGCGCCTTCTCTCTCGTGTTCAGGTCGCTGTATAGTTCTAGCTGGGGGTCTTCAAGAATAGCTTAGGAATCGAGTATAGCGTTCAAAATCTCAAGACTTATCAGTTATAGGTTGTAAGCAGCTGATGAGATCCTAATGAAATAAAATGAATTCATATTATTCTACACCAATTTTTGTTCTTGCTCTCTTTAAAATGACAAACATCATATACTGCATAATATTTTTCGGCTAAGTTCAAAATTTGCCGCTCAGTAATCAATACATTGAGCACAAATTACATAAGCAGAAATATAATGCACCTAACTGTGATAGTGTACAAGCAGTGTAGTTCCAAAAATATGTCTTCTTCGAGGGTGATTAAATGGCTTTAAATAATGACTGTTTGTTCTGATAAAATAATTTATCTTAATTTTAAATGAGTACCTAAGCAAAATAAAATGAACTTTTAAGCATTATTAACGAATTGAAACGGACTAATTACAACATGGATTAGAGAACAATATCATTTTGTTTGACTGTTTGATTTGTTTTCTTTTAAAACACTTAATTTGACCGTGTTGTTATATCATTTATTATCTATCTATTTTAGAGCAAAGCTATTCAAAAGGTATATATATAACTCCGCCTGGAGCCCTCTGGGGCTACTGCCGGTCCCAAGCCCGGATAAAGGAGGAGGGTTGGGCATGGGATTAGCGACCCCATCCCGTAGAAAACTAACTCGCTAAAAACACTGACCAGAATATATATATATATATATATATATATATATATATATATATATATATATTCTCTAAAGCTGATCAACACATGTCAGTATACATTGATCAATAATTAATTACAGTGATTGCCTATATAACTAATTTCACCAAATGAACATCCATAACATTGAAAAATGACATATAAGCCTTTTGTACATTTACAATTTAACGCAATACGTTATAAATATGATTTATTCTACTTAATTTTGTATTCTATGAAGTATTTTAAAAGCACATCATTGAATGTAAAATTAGTGTGATATTTGTTTCACAGTTCATAAACATGTTTCAAAGTGAGTTTATAAGGTAGTAGACACAAGTAAGCAGATAGAAAATTTGTGCATGTAGTTACAACTGTTATGATTCTTAATTGGCGGAATAAAAAAGAAATTACATAAAAAATGAATTGTTTTAGTAAATATCACAAATTTTACAAACAACTTTTCCTACTGATAAAATTGATTAAAGAAAGAACAATAAGTGCTTTAGAAAGTGAATTTCTTTCTTTCATGAACTCTCGTCCGCTGAATACAACCTAGAAACAATAGTAATAAACAAAAATTTAACACGTAATGTATCTAAAGAGGAAGTGTATGCTCCAAAACAGCTGAGTAAAGACAGAAAACTTGTTATTATAAGAGTAGACAAGAGTGACTGTTATGATGTTATGTTATGCTGTTATGAACAATTCTGGTTTTGAAAGAAAAGTCAATGAACATCTTTACAAGAGACTTTACGAAAACATCAAGAAAAATAAATGTAGACCCACTTTAAATAAGTTAAAGACCGAGACAGCCAAAATGCTACACACTTCAAAATCGAAACTAGAACTTTCTCTGTGATTCTCTTTATATGCAAAAAACTTTAGCATTTGTGGATTCTACGGGTTACAAAAAATCCATAAAATAGATGTTCCACTAAGACTAGTAGTTGATTATACAAATTCATCAATCAACAATCTTTCTAAACATCTAGCCAAGATTCTCAAACCATATGAAAGCGAAATAAAATTCGAAATAAGAAATTCTAGTGAGTTCAAAGATTTTATCATTACTATCTACATGGAAGATGAATTAATGGTACGTTTTGGTGTTTGTTCATTGTTCACTAATGTTCCTATTACGAAGGATTTAGATATTGCGAATAAACTCTTAGATTCCATCACTCAACGTAAACAACGATGTTTATTAGGTCCCTCAAACATTACTAAAGCTATGGATCTATGTTTATATTCAACTTTTTTCAATTTTCGAGATTTGTACAGGCAAACAAAAGGTGAGGCTATGGGATTACAGGTTTCTCCAATTATCGATAACTTACTTATACATTCATCGGAAACAAGTGCTGTCTCAAAGTACCCCCTTTCACCAAAAATATGGTTAAGGTACGTACATGACACTTTTGTCATCATAAAAGGAGATGGATTAGACGAACTGTTTATAAACATCAACAGTTTATCCGACAAAATCCAATTCACTAGGAAGTTGGAATCCGCTGAACACAGATTACCTTTTCTGGATTGTTTGGTTCAAAAGAGAATGTAATGATTGTTTAAAAATACTAGGTGAAATATCCAAATTACAAGTCAACACATGTCCGTTCTACCAAAGCGACAGTGACCAAGAATTCGGTAACCAAAGTTTAAAAAACTCGTCAATAAACCAAGTGATAAAGAAACTGAAATGAATTTATTTGTGTCCACTCTGATGATGAATAATTATCCTATGGGTTTTATAGAAAGAATAATTAAGAAAGAATACGAAAAAGACAAGAAAATAGATAAACAAAAAGAATGGGTTAGCACAGCGGTGATCCCATATCGTAAAGTAATTTCAAAAGAGATCAGAAGGATCCTAACTCTTCAAAATATAAGGGCATTCTTTCGAACAAACCATACTCTATGATCAAAACTGGTAAGAATCAAAGATTCAATACACAAGGAGGAACAAAAATATTATGAACATTAGATCAAATCTAGTGACTGTAGTGCTATATATGTAGATGAGACATCACTACAACTTAATGTGAAGATGAAGGAACACAAACTTTGCTTGAAGCACATTCCGAAATTCTTAAATGATATGAAAAAGTTTAAAAAACAAGTCAGCGATAGCATTACACTTAATAGAGTCGGGTCATACAATCGATTTCAGTGGTATAAGAATCCTACATTACGGTTCTAGTTCTTACAGAAGGAGAGACTAACACTTGAAGCCCTACACATATGGACATATTCAAACAGTATTAGTATGAGAAACAGTATGCAATTAGCTGTCCCATCGCAACTAAGAATTAATAAGTAAACTTGAACATACTCCATTTAACAATCACTTGTTATCTGAACAACAATTACTTTCAACTGTTCTAATCAGTTGGTTCATCTAAATAAGGGATGAACAATTAATTTGAATAGCACAATAATAAACATCCATTCATTTATTTTAATTTTGTTTATTTATCTTCACTTTATTCATGCTGTGACATATTTGACTCTTATCATCTATAAAAAATTGTCTGTTTTCTTCAAAAATTCACCGATCAAAGGCAATCAATAATCAATGAAATTCCTTCTCATACCTCAGATCCACTTACAAATAGACATAAACTGTTATTACATACCAGATATCTCATACGCACTACATCAAATACTTACTTTCAACATTGTTAACATGATTAGATGACCTGTTTAGTATACAGCCAACCGAAGAACCATGTACCTATTTATATTCGATAATATTAATGTTTGATTATATTTCCTTGAAAAAAACTTAGACCAGATTGCGGAGCGAAATGTTGGATTTATTTAAAATCTAATTGCTGAGATTTTACAACTATATTTTTCCTCCTTAATATCTGACATTAACTCGGCGCTCAGGAACTGTGAGATTATTCATTAAAACTTAGACGAAAGTCCTTAAAAATAGTAATAATTATTGTGACATTGTATCATATTAATAGAGATTAGTAGAACAACAGAAACAGTTATGTGAAAGAACTTCAAATGTGTAAAATGGATAAATATTGGTGTTACTGAGTGAAAATTCCAGAAAAAATTTTAAAACACATGGAAACACATTTCTAGAGAATGAAAATTGATATTACTATTACGTAATAACAGCCATAACATTGGACAGATTAATAGAGTAAAGTGAGTAAAGCCCAAAAAACGACACAGGAATAAAAGAAAGAAATTTGTTATTAAGAATATGAAATAAGATATTACCTAACTGAACAACAAAATATGGAAGTTACAAGGGTGTTGAGAAACGTACTACTTTATCCTTTATAATATTTGGTTTCGACTTGTTAAAAGCTATGGCTTCGGTGCAACGTAGTAAATTCGACGTAGTTTGGGCATTGATTATTCCGAACAGTTTTAAATTATCACCTTTTTATCGATTGTCAAGCAGATGGCTGGCAGTATTACTGCTGAAAATACGTCGTCCTTTTTGGTTGTACTATAAGTTGCTAATAAGAAGCCTCCTTTCTGTTTTTCCAATGCAAATGATTCGGAATGAAAATATAAACTGATAAATACGACTGAAAGTAACATGAGGTGGAAGTTTGTCAACTTTTTTCGACATACCCTCTTCAGTGCGGCACTTGTTCTACAATTATTCACGCCAGCTACTTCATCATTTTAGAGTCCAAGCCATAAACTGATTGGCTTTTTCTTGACCATAGCAAATCCTACTCCTTCCCTTACTTATTGGTAAGCTTTTTTGGGTAACCATTACCTCGCAAACACTGTTCAACTATGTCTAATTCCTCTCCAATCGTTTTTTTGAACATGGTGTCAGTAGACGACTCAATAGTGCTCTAAACAAAAACCTTTTGCAGCTGATTAAATAGAAACTAATGATATTCAAATAAGGCTTACTACAGGCGTCTTTTCAGCGAATAGATCTTTTTATACAACGATTCGAATTACGCTGATCACCAGCAGCAAGAAAAGTCATGATCCACTGCAAACCAAATATTAAAGTGCTGTCTATAAAAAAGATTGAACTGAGGTCTACTTTATGAACCACAATTTATCATCTACTTGACATCGTTGTCAACATTCTAAATGTGGGAACAACATATAAGGATTTTAGTTGTTCAACCAACATGTACTGATCTACATATTGAATAACAATTTAGTCTGGTTAAGAAAACATTCCTTAACAGAATTCTTGGAATATGTCATCCAAAATAGATAAAGTATTCACATAACTTCATACTTGGCAGACTAACTTTAGGATTTACTAAATGGAATCATCATATGCGTTAACATAGTTCATAGTTGATGTTAATGTTAAGGTTAATCTAGTTTACACACACTACCCATTACTGTGACTGGATTTGAACTCATTGTATTATTGAGCACAACATATTCTATTATACCACATTATTTTATATGCATAAATTATAGTTCATGTTTATTTCGAAATTAATGTCTGCCTACATATTATGATAAATCTGACTAACCACGAAATTACTCTTCTATATTGTGTTCTTCAATATGTAAGTTTCTGAGATTTACTAAAATTAACCACCAAAACATATTAGCTTCCATCATCTCCTTTTTAACTTAACTGTAATATTTTTGCCGGTAGATTTGCTAACATAGATAATATAAAGTCAATGAAGATTCAGATAATAAAGTTTAATAAATACTTTAGAATTTAGGGTGTTTAGTATTAGTTCGATCCCAGTTTTTAATCTAATAGATAATCATCAACTGCCTAATTTTGATCATTAAAATATTATTGTTCTATAGAAAAACAACTCCCATTACTATCTATTGTCAACTATTTCTTATCATTTTCAGCTTGTTTGTTAGAAAGAAAAATGGTTATATGACATTATAATCGTTTAATTTTTGCTTAGCCTATACTAAGTACAAGAAGAAAACATGATTTTAATCATGCTTTAAATTCAACAATGGAAGAAGCAATTGGAATGAAATGATTAATTTCATTTGAAAGAAAAAGCTAATAGTTAAGTACAGATAAGTAGAGAAACAAAGGATTAAGGTAGTTACACTAGAAAATAAAGGAATGGATATCATATCATGATACCCTCCAAACATTTGAACAAAACAACGTAGAACCAATATGTTAACAAATAAAACTAAATGCTTTTATGTGAATATACAGATAGATGGATGAATAGATATACAGCTAAGGATAAGATTGAATATTTATAAGTCATTCATATACATAAATACAATCACATTACCAATTCATATTTAATGAAATCTTAATATGAATGAATAAATCTTAGGGATTATTTGTCAGTTATAAATGTCAGCATTTCTCATAATAGAAGAAAGATGAATTCAAGAAGATTAGAGCATAGATTGCCGGAAAGTTTGGTAAAAACATTTTGTCATCAGACATTTATGTTATATATGAATATGTCTAATATAAGATGTGAAGTTAGCTACATAAAAAAACAAGTGATGATCGTTAGAAAAAACTGAAAGGGACCAAGTTGTCTCTTTATCAATTCGTTTATCAGCAAATCACGTATTAAGATATATATATATATATATATATATATATATATATATATATATATATATATATATATATATATATATATATAATGAAACTCAATGCTTACCATTAATATTGTTTTAAATAAACAATCTAATTAAGGAATTAGATTGTTTTGGCAGCGATTATATAAGCTTGACTTAAATGAATGTTTGTAAAATTTGTGTATGTATTCCTGAAAATCAGCCAGTAGCAGACTAAAAAACTCGGTGGTTATATCTTAAACTGTAAACCTGAGTAATGCGAATTTGAATTTCACAGATAGTATTAGTTTCTTCGAGATTAAATGTACGTCATGGAGAAGAATTCTGAAAAAAAAGAAAATCTAGGTTCAGGGTTACCTCTCGATTGTCTCTAACAGCCTAACATCCTGGATAAATGATAAACTAGAATTTTAAAAAATAGATTAGGCATAAATTATAGCTAATCATTTTATTCTTCTTATATTTTAATAAACATTACCAACTCTCTCTAATTTCCTTTACTTATTAGTCGGATTTTCTAAATAAAACCATCATCCATAATTTTATAATTGGTAGACATGAAACGTTCTATAAAAGTTATGAATCCACATGATGCTATTGTATTTCTAAGACTTACATTAGCTGAATCAACAAGGAATACCAGGTTGCATTGTACAACTGTTTTGTCAACAGTGGTCTCGAGAGGTCACACACGAGTTGAGACCGAAAACCTTTAGATCTAATAAATATCAACATGCTTTCAACTAACTAAAAAGTTCAGTGATCCGCATAATTATACTTTTGTCAGTTTCGTATTGATAATTGTTAATAAACTACTTTTAAAGATTTGAATAAACTAATAATTGTTTGAGCAAAACATTTACTTTTTGTATACTATGTCAACAAACACTTGATCAATTTCACGGTAGTGTTAAGACATTATGTCTACGTGCAACAGCTGAGACTTTCTGACCGTCAAAACTGTATCAACAATGGGAAATGATTATAGATAACAGCTCGAATGAAATAACTTACAAAGAATTCATAAAAGTGCTTTAGTTTGAAAGGTTTATAATGAGCATGGTTTTAATTAACATAACTTTAGATTCTGCTGGTGCTGAATGAAAAATAACCCAAAGATCTCTAGCCTAATAATTACGAAAATATTGCAAAGTAATAAATTACTGGATTATGGACGATTCAACTTCCTAATTGAACAACTTTATAAAAAAAGTTGACAATCATTGTCAAAATTAGGCATAAAAAATTTATCAGAATGAATATATTAATACTCGGATGTGGTTTAAAGCTTGATATTGTC